CTGTGTGTATATAGCTGATTAAAGCGTCAATCAGAGAGGAATGTAGAGGTAAATTACATGAAACAGCAACAATTTGAAGCTACTCAATTTACCTATGTCAGTAAATTAGGCCTACCATGGAAAAAACAAACCAATTCAGATTAAAATCAACTGGTAGATAAGCAAACAAATCTAAAGATGATGAGCAACATGAACAGTAAGTAGTCTTGCACACAGTTGATTTCCACAAAGTAGCCTGCTATTTGTAGCTCTGACTCCAGCCTATCTATCGAGTTCTAAAGCATCTTCACTGTTTCCACTAATGCTCTTGTACAGTGTCTCTGTGTAGCTGTTTGACCATGGCCAGTTACACAGGACCACTGAACATGAGGTCTCTGTTGCCATAGAGTCAGTATCAGTATACGCACACACACACTGCCCTGTTCCCTCTTGGCAAAGTGAATGATCAATTTTTTCCCTTCCCCTAAATGCAGTCAATCAGACATGACATGTTCGGAGTCTGAAGTTTGTTTTATCAGAATCAGAATTGCTTTATTTTGCTAAGTATGTTACACATACAAGGAATGCATCTTGATGAGTGCACACATGTATGACATGCAACATACTGAACAGATCAGACAAGCACACAGACTATTACCAAATATTTAACTAAGGGACAAATAAAATAATAATAGAATAAATAAAATAAGGAATAAGAAAGAATAATAAAGAGCCAGTGTGAAATGAGCTAAAGAGATGAGTGTATTTGCAGGTCTGAAGAGACATATGATAACTAGTATTTGCACAACATTACAGAGTGAAATAAACATTTGTAAAAATTAACATTTGTACAGTTGTGCAAATATGCACTATGTTGTAGATGATTTATACTGTAATACAGTAAGGGAGCTTTGTTGGGTTCCGTGTAAAATTAAAGTGAGAGGTCCACCACAATTTCTACAGTCTTTTGTGTGTTGAGCAGCAGGTTGCTCGCACCTGCTCAACTTCCTTTCTGTAGGCAGAATCATCACTGTTGGCTATGAGGCCCACTGCGGTGGTACAGATTTGAGGATCTTCACAGCTCGTTTCTTCGAGACACAGTGTAGAGACTGAAGAGAAGGGGTGAGAGAAGACAGCCTTGTGGAACTCCGGTACTGAGGGTCCAGGGGTCTGACAGACCTGAGGCAGCAACTCTGGTACTATGGTGTTAAAAGCCGAGCTGAAGTCCACAAACAGAATTCTAGCATAGGTTCCAGGACTGTCGAGATGCTGTAGCATGAAGCGCAGGGCCAAGCCGACAGCATCATCAATAGACCTGTTAGCTCTTTTTGTGAACTGCAGGAAATCCAACAAAGGGTTTGCAATGGCCTAATAATTTTTTAAGCAATTATCTAACAATACTGATATGATTCTGATATCAATGTGCATCACTATTTTAAATGATAGTGTAAAGATAATTGTACAAAATATTGTGTCAGAAACCACACAAGCAAGTCTGTTTGAGAATACTTAACTATTTGACACAGTTGGAAGTAAGAGTGTAATGTTGTGTGTAGGTGTGCAATTTTTCACAATAAACATCCGTTATTTGTTAGCTACATATGACTCATAGCTCCAGTGCAAAGCTAAACAAGCTTCAGAAACTAAACATGTCTTGACTTACTGATAATATTTGGTGCATGGTGGGGATTGAATAAATTAGATATTCACTTTAAAAATCTCTGTGCTCATGAGAACACTTTGATATTCATATTTGTAATGATCAATGAAGTGCACCTGGGGTCACATAAAAAAGTCTCTGCAGAAAAACTGATTTTTTTTTTCTACTTTCATTTGCTGATGAATAGTGTGTGCTTATGAGATATGAGATAGATTTGGATTCTGCTTTTACAATCACTGCAGCTTTTCTTCTGACCTACATCACTCAGAGTACTGCAGAACATTTACAGGGTAAACAACGACACTCTGCAGAAACAAACAGCTAAGTGGATGTCATCCAGTCAAACAGTAAACTTTTCTTACTGCTTAATTTTACAGATGGGTTTTTGCATGAAACTCACACTGTAACACAACATACAGTTAATAATAAAAATAAACTTTTTTTAGCATCTTTCATATATTTAAAATGCACCTCAAAGTGCTTTACAATGTAATGTAATGAAAAAACAGGAAGAAAAGAAAGAAAACAGTCAAAAAATATAGTAATAAAACAGGCAAAAATGAAAATTTTCAACAAATAAAAGTGACAGAAAGTCACAGAAGTGAGAGAAAAAGATAAAATAATGATAATAATAAGGATGGATCAATTTCTTGGCATATTGTAAGCACAGGTAGGGTCTTGCTCATACAATAGTCATTAGACGATAAAATACAGTTTTGGTAGCGCAATTAATATGCAGTTGATAAGTTCAATTAGATTCTAGAATTACACCAAGATTTCCAATTTTAGCATTTGTCTGTAAAGCCAGATTTCGGAGTCTGTCATGCACCTTTTATCTATGTTTTTCTACCAGTTACAAGTATTTCTGTTTTGTTGCCATCTTGTCATTAAAGAGTACAGTTAGAAGAACACAAATTTGATTCCTGAGGTCTCGCTCAGCCATTGAATGGACTTAAATTACATCAGCAGCACACCTGATTTAATTTAACCCCTTAAAAGGCCAGGGCCCATCAGGGGCCCAAAGTTTTATAGAATTATATAGAATAGCTCAGCCAGTTTGCACTGAGGTCCCTGTAGTTATATATGAATAATATATAATAATAAGCAGGTCTTCTGAAGGAAAAAAAAGCTATGATCAACAACCATGGCTAATGTAGCATTTAAATAGTTTCCAATCTGCATGAGCGTCTTTAATTTCCACAATCAGTCATATATGGGTGAATGTACTGCTTCATCAAACCTCTCTTTCACTCTGCTGATGCAGTGTGATCCCCAAATCCCAGCACTAATCACATTAGCTGAGTATAGTTCGTGACAACTGACATGGTGGCTAGTGAGCAGATCACTAATGAAGATCGCTAATATCTACTACACAGGGTTCAACAGTGCCTCTGTGAGGTACGCTGAGAATAACACATTTGCTAATGATGTTAGATGTAGAATTAAAGAAGGAAAAGAAAAGAAGAATACAAAGAAGAAGCAGATGATAATTAAGAAATGAGGAAGGAGGAAGAGGATGAGGAGGAAAAGAAAACAAGAATAAGAAAGATGAGGAAGACAAGAAGAAAAAAGAGCAATTGATGAAGTAGAAGAATGTGATGAAGAAGAGGAAGTACATGATAAAGAAGCACAAAACGAAGAAGGTGATGATAATGGAGCAGAACATGAAGGTAAAGATGAAAAACAGGAATAAGGTGAGAATGAAGAAAAAGATGATAATGATAATTAGGAATATGATAATTAGGAATTTGATGATGATGAGGTGAAGGAGGAAGAGGAAAATGAATATGAAGATGATTAACAATGACGATGATGAATATGAAGAATAATAAGAATCTGAAGAATTTGAATATGAGGAAGATGATGAATATGAAGAATAGGAATATGAAGATGAATATGAGATGATGAAAATTAAGATAGGAATAAGATGATGATAGTGAAGCCAAGGGATAAGAAGATTATGATGATGAGACGATGGTGTTGATGAAGATGGAGATGATGTAAACGAAAAGTAGAACTTATTGTGATATGTTGATGAAACTCTTCAGAGTTGAGTATTTTACGGTGATAAAGAGGAATCTGAATGAACTAATTTACTGATTTAAAGTATAATCTCCTAATAAGCTTTAGATTTGTAGTCAGAGACAGTAGTTCATCTGTTGCTACACAGTTTGTGGCCATCCTCTAGTCCTTCATCAGTGGGCACAGAATGCTCTGTTGGCTGGATATTTTTGGTGGGCTATTCTCTATTCTACAGTCACTGCAGTGCTGAGACACACACACACACACACACACACACACACACACACACACACACAAACATCTAAATGCTCCACTAGTGTGTGTGAGTGTGTGTGTGTAATCTGAGCTGGGAAAAGAGGAAAATAGATAAAACAGTAATGACTAAAGCTCACTGTTTTCTTCTAAATTAAATATTTCTGCTTCTTCTGTTGAGTTCCCGCTCAGGGTGATCTTGTTGTTAAAAAATAGAGAGGTGAAAAATGTAACTGGCTCTGGCCTACTGTACATACTCTATCTGTTTCATTTTAGAAGCTAAAAGAAGTCTTTTTATTAAGGTGTTCTATTGTCTGGTTTATTGTTATTTTTCTGTTTGTGCATGTCATCTGGCTGCATGTATGTGCATGTAACAATTTCTCCTTGTGAAGCAATAAAGAATGAATGAATGACTTGATGAACTTAATTAAATTCAACCGAAGGGAATTGAACTGAACATAACAGAACTGATCTGAATTCAGTGTGAGAGAACATTACTGCAGTAAACACCAACAAGTAGTTTTTTTTCTCTCCTTCATTCTTTTCTCTCTCCCCCTCTCTTAATTCTTTCCTCTTTGTTCTCCCCTCTCCCTCTTTCTCCTTGTCTTTCACTTTTCCGGTTTCTTTCTTGTTCTCACTTCTCTCTTTCCATCTTGTCTACCTTCTTTCATTCACTTTCTTTCTTTTTCTTTCTCTCTCTTTCTTTTCTCTCTTTCGTTTTCTCTGTTCTCTGTCTCTTTCTCGTCTTTCGCTCTTTCTGTTTATCTTTTTATCTCTCCTCTTTCTCCCTTCTCTCTTACTGTTTTCTTTCTTTTTCTCTCGTTTTTTTCTCGTTTTTCTTGCCCACCCCTTCTCTCTTCCTTTTCATCTGTTAATTGTTTTTCTCTGTATCACTGTCCTTTCCTTACTCTCTCTCTCTCTCTCTCTCTCTCTCTCTCTCTCCCTGTCTCTATGTGTTCAAGCTTGATAGCGTGTCTGTGCCTGTGCGCGCGCGCGCGCGTGTGTGTGTGTGTGTGTGCGAGCGTGTGTGTATGGTTCAGTGGTGACGTGCCACGCTGCCGGGACTATAACTAGCGCACGGGGACAGATCACGCGCGCAAACACAGCCCGTCGATCTCCACGGACGCACGAGGACCAGCTCTTCGTCCACCTCGTGCTCTCCTCCACACACGCGCACATACTCACTGACGCGCTGCATGCTCGTGTTAGAGAAGCGTGTGTGGCTCACCTTGCGGCTGGCGTTCACAGAACGATGAAATGAACAGCGCGGAGCGTTACTTCTGAGCGCGCGCTCTCGGAGGTGACCGCGCGAAGACAATGATGAACTCCACTGACGGAAATGACACGGAAGGTTCCGGCGCGCAGCTCGCGCTGGAGATTGGAGCTGAAAACGTGGCCACTCTGTTGGTGTTTGCGCTGATCTTTGCACTGGGCGTGCTGGGCAACGCTGTGGTCATCACGGTGCTGGCCCGTAGCCGGCCGGGCCGAGCCCGCAGCACCACCAACATCTTCATCCTGAACCTGAGCGTGGCCGACCTGTCCTACCTGCTCTTCTGCGTGCCCTTCCAGGCCACCGTCTATGTTCTGCCCACCTGGGTACTGGGTGCCTTCGCCTGCAAGTTTGTCCACTACTTTTTCACTGTCTCCATGCTGGTCAGCATCTTCACGCTGTCTGCCATGTCTGTGGACCGCTACGTGGCCATCGTGCGCGCCCGCAGCTCCTCGTCTGTGCGTGTGGCCCGGAATGCCCTGCTGGCCGTCCTGGTCATCTGGCTGCTGTCTCTGGCCATGGCGGCACCAGTTGCATATTACCAGCGTATCATCGAACGGGCAGACAATGCCACCTACTGCTGGGAGCTGTGGCCACAGGCGCATCACAGGAAGATCTACGTGGTGTGCACCTTCGTGTTCGGATATGTGTTGCCACTGCTGCTTATCTCATTCTGCTATGCCAGGGTGAGTACATCACAACTGCACACTCCCATATAGTGGTACATGTTAATTGGTTAGCATGTTGCATTATTTATTTGGATCCAGTGAACACTCTCACAGGTCCAGCTGGATGTGCTCACTGTCTAATCTCCTTTTGGCTGCTCTCACTGGCCATTTTATCAGGTACATCTATCTTTTAGGTCTGGTGTATAGGTATAAAATTACAGACTGTAGCTAATCAGTTGCTGCCCAATTTATTAGCCCCCTCACCCCATCCATTACTGGTCATTTTCTAACTACCGCTGTTGACCAGATATTGTTTGTGTGCTGGAGCAGCAGTGACACTGATGTACTAGTGGCACAGTTTTAAAAATAAAAAGGGTTCTTTGCTATAGAAGAAGCACTTTTGGTTCCCTAAAATCCTTGAAGTGAGATATATGAGTCTGAAGAACCTTTTTAGAGTTGAAGGATCCTCCACTTTACACATTGTAAAGGTTCTAGAACCTTTTAGGAAGAGTCCCAAAATTGGTCCAGAACATTTACATTATATGAGGATTCTTTAGAAGGGTCCACACGCTCATAAGTCCTCAGTGTGATCTTGTTGTGAAATGATAGATTTCATTTTAGAAACTTTTTATTGAGATGTTTTATTGGTTTATTTTGTTTTTCCTTTGTGCATGTAATTTATCTGCATGCATGTGCATGTAATATTGTCTCCTTGTGAAACAATAAAAAATGAATGAATGACTATGTACGAGTGAATATGGTTGATTATGTATGTATGATTATGCTTACTGAATTGAACTGAACTGAACTCAGTTTAAATGAGCTGAACTTAACTGAACGAAATTGAACTGAGTGTGAAGAATCTTTGAAAGTCGACAAAACATGCACATAATGTAAAGGTTTTAGGAAGAGCCCTTAAATTGGTCTACAACATTTACATTACATGAAAGATTTTAAAACCTTTAAATGGTTCTTCAAACTCAAAAATCTCTTTTTCAGACAAGGTTCTTTAGGGAACCAGAAGTGTTTTTTTCTGTGTAAAGTGTTTCTTCTGAAAGAACACTTTGTGGCACCCTTTTTTGTGTTTGAGCCGCAGCTGTTTTGCTGGGGTTTCTGATAAAGAGGCCAATGAGTATAAATGTGTTAATGCAACCTTGCCGCAATTTACACGTTTTTGTTTTAGACATGTTTTTCTGTTTGCAGGTTTTAAATCACTTGAGCAAAAAGCTCAAAAACATGTCTAAAAAATCTGAGGCTTCTAAAAGGAAGGTACGTCTTCTACTCTTCTGTTCATATCAAAATATGATATATGTTGCTTTTTTTAAGACTGAAATGTACCAAATAACACATCACACTGTTTATCACAGAAAGCTCTTTGAAAATTGCTCCCCATTCAGTACTGTGCAAAAGTCAGAGACCACCCTTCCTTTATTTAGTCAAAACAGCCATTAGGTACTAGTTATTCATTAACAGGAGATTCTTCTGAGGAGATTAAATACAAAATAATCCAGTGAGAAGTTGTGAAGTGAAAAAACAGGAATTTCTAAAACTGGAGTTTTGAATAAAAGTGGACTTGTAACAAATGTGCAAGACCTGGTAGACCACCAAAACTGTCACCCTCGGATAAAAAGTACCTAAAGCTTCCATCTTTGAGAGAAAGAAAGCTCCAAAGATCTAAAAAATGGTGAGGCTGCTGGTGTTCCCAGAACAATCGTGAGTGGCAGAAAATGCAACAAACTTCTAAGACTAAACTTTGAAGATGTGGAAAAATCTACCTTCAGATTTCTTTGAAAAACTAAAAGCAAGCCTCCTGAAAAGATTTGAAACTGTAATAAAGGCAAAAGGTGGACACACTGAATAGTGAAAACATTCGTATTATATGTATTTGTTGAGGCTTCTGTGTAAAAAAAAAAAATGAAATAAATGAAGGGCGTGCACTGTCTGTGTGTTATAGCCAAAAATCCTAAGGCAGATTTATCTGCTAGAGGCTTTGGGAAACAAACACTAATCAGATTTGAACAGCACTGTCAACAGTTTTTTGCTGAATATTTTACTGCTTTGAATTGAAACTTATGGTACATTCTTTTCTACACAAAAATAATGCATTTCCAACCCAGTGCATGGAATAATTATATATTCCCAAATCAAAATAACTTACAGCGCCAGTGACAAGAACTGAATCAAAATCACCTCAGAAAAAAAAGTAATGCACAGAATTTATTAATTAATTCATTAACTCCATTGATGTCCATCATTTCCACATGAATAAAATATTTTTACACTGACACAAATATAGCCAAAAGTAAGTAAACTGGAAGACAGTAATTGTGTATAAGTGATATATTTAATTTATGAGGAACTGACTGACACAATTGAATCAAGTCAGTTCAATGCATCCTTTTTTTTGTGCACTCTTTAGGAGAAAGTCCAGTACTGTGGGAGTTAGCACAGGTGTTGTTTCTGCTATTAACAACCAGGCACTTTGCCAAAAAAACAGCATGTGTTGAGAGAAATTCTACAGATGATACATTCTGAAATACTGCAGTATTTGGTAAACAAAAAAAGAACACATTTCTTTACAAACTGAAAACTGTGCTATGTTGAATGTACATACACTTGCACATACTGTACACATACATACATTCATACTTACACGTATAGCTGAAACACTGATTACAACTTCATTTGTAATGGGCAGGGCTACCTCACTGTAGGCTGAACAGGCAGATTCATGTAAATGTGGCAGTTTTCGTGACATCACAAATACAGTGAATTCAGAATGGGCAGATTTTACAGTTTAGTTTGCATATATATGGACTGTACGGACTGAGCAGTGAAACTTTCTGTTTAAATGGAACTGAACTAGTCACTGGGCTGGTGCTTTATCTCTATGTGCTCACATGTGTATTAGAGTTCAAACTCCATCCTTACAGCAATCCAGATTTGATATATGCTTCTTTATTTACTCTTTTTTAATTGTAGTGTTTTTGTTTTTATAAATAGATCCATTGAAATCTCAAGGCTAAGATAAAAAAAAAGAATGTTTATAATTCCAGGAGGCCATGGCTAATTCCTTGAGCCTCAAAGCTGATTTCTAGGCTTAGCAGTCCTGATGTGTGTGTGAGTGTGTGGGTCTGTTTCTTTCCAAACATAAGCACTAAGATACGATTTTTGTTGTTGGATGTGCTTATCATATCAGAACACTCACAGAACAACAGAAATGTTATCATTCAGAAATTGCAAACACGTTTCATTAACACGGTTCCAATTCTTTATTTGCTTTTGTCATTTCCATATTTTGTCCGTGTTTAATTAGATCCCCACTTTGCTCTCTGAAGCTTTACACAGCCCAAACTGCTGCAATAGCAGCTGATAAAATGAAAAATGCTGCCAATAAAAAGTGTAGAATCATTTCTTCAATCCAATTTTACTAAAAAATAATAACAATAAAAGCAATAAAAAGTGTCCTGATATCTTATGGAAACAAGCATAGAAATCATATCTCACTGAGTCATATTCAATTAAAAAAAGCACACAGTCCCAATAAAAAATGTTGAATCATCTCTCGAATCAAGTTCTTCTGAAAAATGACCCATAGTATCAACCAGATGGGTGGCATACTTTTTTGGAACAATTCATTTTGCTAGTTTAAAGATCATTTTCTATCTGAAACAATTATTTGAGATTATTGATAGTGTCAACAATAATACAAATCATAGACAAATATTTTCATTGTAGATCAAAGTGACTTCCAACATTGCGTGAGTTAACAACTTAACCTGAAGAGGGCAGGACCTGTTTACAGCTGCATTTTCAGTGATCCAGTCATGTTTAAGTTTCATTCGTACATATGAAAAGCCAGGTATAAACATGCCCAGGATGCATGGAGTGGATTACAATGAGATTGCTTAAACCACATTCAGAGATGGTCAGAGATGGATCTTAACTGCATTCAACACAAGTGTAAATGGAATGTGTCGAAGGTGTAACTTAAAAAAATATGATTGCAACAGAATGTTGCACTATTAGTTCCCTTACTAGAAATACTGAAGATATACTGTTGAGTATGTACCCCCACTGATAGTGTTTGTAACTAGTGTCTTATGGCTTTCAGTGGAAAAAAATGAATGCTCATCCTGTATGAAAATTACCTTCATTGAATAAACAAATGACAAAGTAATTTAGTTACTATTGAAATGTCTCCAACAAGCCAATCCACTCAAGGCATGCAACTCCACCCACAAGCAACGTTAACCTAAATTTTTACTTTCGACCACCTAAGATATCAGAATTTTATCTAATAAAAATATAATTTTGCAGGATGTGAAGGATGTGTTTGAAAACGATTGCCATGGATGAGATGCATATGAATAAAAGGGAGATAAACAGACATCAGGTCTGTCTGTGTAGTGTTGATGAAAGCTAGTTGGTAAGAGATGTTCTTAGGAACTTGGATATTTTCAATGTCAGTCCCTACCTAAGCCAAACTTGCCTTGCAACCTAAACTGTAATAATTTAATGTAATTTTTTTGCAGGCGACCCTGCAATGTTTATCTCACCTGTGCACTTTGCACTTGAGCACCTATGTGCTCAAATAAAGAAATTAAGAATAAAGAAAAACTTTTGATATCTCAGCCTATTTTTTTTTTTTACTTTGTGCCTATTTTGGCCCCATTTGTGTGTGAGTTACTCGGTTAATAAATTTAGCTATAGCATAAGTCAATATTTATCATGACAAACTTCTAAATGTTCATCAACAGTAATTTCTTAGCTAGCAAGTAATCTAACAGCAAACAGCTTTGTTTAAATTCACCCTATACCCCTCCATATAGGGTACTATAGAAGTTTGACTTCTACACATAATAAATGCATTACATGTGTATGGAAAGCTGTGTACCCTGTGGCTGTATATATTGCATTATTTGGGGTGTAGAGTTCATAATTTCATTATCTACGTAATGCATTACATAGGGACTTTTGGGCCATTTCGGTTTTACCTGATGGTAGAAAGTTTGCCAGCATAGTGCTAATGTAAACTTGAGAAACAACAAGCAAGTGACAGAAAGCTTTTAAACATTTTTGAATGCTCACTGATACGAGACCATAATGACAAGCTACAGTAGGGTCCAAAAGTCTGAGACCATTAGTGAAAATGCTATCATTTGCATTTCTTTCTAATTTAATGCAAGTTTTTTCATTACAAATTATATTGTTGACATAACAATTAGCATGAAAAGTAAAATCTTTTTGATATCAGCTCTAGTTTAAATAAAGATGTGTTGAGCTGTTAAACTATGTTAAACTACTTCTTTAAAGGCTTGAATTCAAAGTATGCTTTTTCTTATTGGAACGCTAGCCTGCTAGATAGTTAGCTGCTCCACTGAGGGCAGCTATGAAAAAATACAATGTGTAAACAAACTGATTTTGTTGTCTGGTTGGATTTCATGGACACAGATTTCAACAATAACTGTGCTTTTTCAAGAAGTGATTAAGAAGCAACACTCACATGTCTTCTGAAGCACTGAGCTTTCTTGAGAGGTTTATGCACGTAAGATTCCTGTTCTTGCCGTACTTTTAACTTCAGTCGGCTGTAGTGACCGCTGTAAAACTGCACATTTTTTCCAATAATACCTCAGAGACATTTAATGGGGCATAAAATGACAATTTAAAAAATAAGCACACTTTCTTTGATTTAGCTAAAACAGTACTGAACAACACTTCCATTCCCCAACTGGATATTTTAGCCATAATGTACGCAATGGTCATCTGAAAAATAAGGTGGATATGAAGAGATTACTTAAGATGACTTAATAACTTGAGACAGTTTGAGGGAAATGTGTGTTTTAGTCATACTGTTTTAATGCTGCTACTTGGTGGGGTTTAAGCTTCCATTACTTAGCTACATTAGCCTCATAGCTCCAAGACAAAAGTAAACAAAAACAAACTTCAGACACCAGACATGTCTCAGCTGACTGACTGCATTTGAAATAAGGAGAGGAAATGTGTAAATTTGATTTTTAGCCAAACTATTACTGTAAAAGGTCAAAGACATAGAGTGATAAAGAGTCTCTGTGGATTATGTTTGTCTTCAAGGCATTAGCTGGATTGATTTTGCTAAAATGACATGAGTGCAGTGGCTGAGCTGAGCCGGGCTGAAGTCAAAGCGTCTCATCACTGTGATTAATGGCAGCCTGTGGTGAGTGCAGTAAAGTGGACGGACGGAAATAAATAAATAAATAAATAACAAAAAAAAAAACAAAACAAGCAGA